TCTCTCTCTCTCTCTCTCTCTCTCTCTCTCTCTCTCTATGGGTTTCAGCCCCTTGGGGGAAGGGCCAGCATGCAGATGGCCCACAAGTGTCCAGCCCCTCTGCTGAGGCTGTCCCACTTGGCCCTTCACCCCTCCTTCCAGGACTTCCTGGGCTCAGGAAACTTCTCTGGTCCTGAGCCCAAGAGAGCGCAGGAGGCTCAGATGGGAGATGTCCTGGTGTGGAGATGACCAGTTCAGGGTCACAAAACCCAGTAAGAGCAGAGCGGCCACCACCTACCCCTGGGCCCTTCCAGCCACAGAGTGACCGCCCTGGATGGGTGTGTATGTCTGTGTGCCTGGGCGGGGTGGGGACAATCCTTACCTATATGTGGCCACCTCCAGGCTCAGGGACATCTTGAGGTGTGCCAGCTGCTGTCGACCCTCCAGGACCTGGGCGATCTGGCTCTGGAGACCCTGCTTCTCCTGCTCCAGGGCCTCCACAGCCAGCTGCAGAGCAAGGGCGGGCAGTCAGTGGGGTGGTGGGGTCCCCCCTGCTAACTACCCTGATTCCTCCTAGCGCAGAGCCTCCCCCTTCCCCCCCCTCCTGCCAGGGAATCTCCACTGGGCCCCCCAAATAAGCACACGGCCCCTCCCAGCTTCTCCCATGCCTGGCTCCTCGGAGGATGCTGATTAACTGGGAGCACATGTTGTTGAGAATTCAGCTCCCACAGGAAGGGGGAGGTGAGGGGGGAGAGGAGATGGGTTACAGAGGAGGAAAGGGGGGAAAGTGGAAGCAGAAGGAAAAACGATTAATCAAGAGCCTGGAGCCTGCAGCCGGGGAGCCCAACAGCCCGGTCCCATCACGGTCCCATCACGGCTCGCTCCTCACCCCAGGCCCCGCCCCTCCACTTCCTACACGTTCTGGAATCTTTCAGAGGAGGAGAGGGGAGGTGGTCAGACCTCGGTCTGGCCCAGACAAGAGGCTGTTTTCTCAGCTGTTGGTCCCATCTGTGCTGTTCCTGAGGAAGCAGCTGTCCCAGGCCTCTGGAATGTGCTCCAAGGAGCTGAGAAGCCATGACATGGGAGAGGGTCTGGGGCCCTGGCTCCTCCTGCCAGGTAGAGGCTCTAAGAGGCCAGGCTAGAGACCTGGAGCTGGGGTATAAAGCGCCCAGCATCTTCTGAGTGACGGCAGCCGAGGGAGGGCTGCAGGGCGTCCTGGGCCTGCCTGCCTGCCTGCCTTTGAGAGGCATGCGCTCTGGAGGCCTCTACATCCCCATCCTTCCCACCCACCCCAGACGGGCTGTGAAGGTCGAGGGCCCCTGGCACCCGATGCGGGTTTTCTGAGTGGTGTCTCCTGCCTGCATCGAAGGCTACCCCTGCCTGTTGCCTTCCCCAGAAGGGACTAGGTCACAACCTCACCTGGAACTTTTCAGTGGCCCGCAGCCGCTCCTGCCAGCGGCCCTCCAGCCTCTGTTCCAACGTCTCCCTGCGCTCCTGGAGGCCGCTGCGCTCGGTCTGGAGCTGCTGCAGCTCCAGGCGACCCTCCCGAGCGCCCTGCACGGCTCTGCCCAGCCGCTCGCGGGCCTGGCCCAGGGACATCTCCATGTGCGCCACGCGCTCTTGGTAGCCGCGCACTGCCCCGCGCCACGCGTCGCCCAGCCGCCGGGCCAGCTCCTCCACCTCCGGGGCCGGCGCTGGGGGACCGCGGGGTCGAGCGGGGACCCGGGGGGCACAGGCAGCCTGAGCGTTCAGGCTGGCGCGTTCCTCGTCGTGCGCGGCGCGCAGGGCGTCCAGCTCGCGCTCCAGCTCCGCCGCCTGTGCGCTCAGCCAGCCCCGGGCGCACTGCTCGGCCTCGACCGCTCGCCGGCTGCGGGCTGCCTCCTCGGAGGCCCGCTCCCGCGCCAGCCGCAGCTGCTGGCATCGGCCCGCCACGCCCTCCAGCTCTTCGGCCAGGTTGTCGCGCTCCACCTCGGCCGCGTACTTCTCCCGCCAGCGCTGGTCCACAAGGGCCCGCAGGGCCGCCAGCTCGTCGTCGGCTCGGGCCCGCCAAGATGTGTCCCCGGACTGTGCCCGGAGACCCCCGAGCTCCGCGCTGAGCAGCTCGTTCTGCTCCTCCAGCGCCTTGACCCGGGCCAGGTAGGCCTCCAGGCGTCGGTTGAGCTCCCAGAGCTGGAAAGATTCCTCCCCCAGGCAGCCCTCCATCCTGCTCGTCGGAACCACTCTTAGGACGTGGGGCACCAGGGAGAAGGGAGCGGCTCTCGGAGCTTTTAGGAAGAAAGAGACTTGAGGGGACAATGACAAGGCGGGGCGGGGCGGGGCGGGAGCAGCGCGAGCGACTGGGAGTCCGGGAGAGGGAGCGAGGCTATTCATACTCCCGCCAGCCGGGCGGGAAAGGGGCGGGACCCGGGCTTAACCCTTTAGGGCTCAGCCCAAGATCGCCCCTGCTCCTGGGTGTCCCCGGGGGGCTGGGGAGTGGAGCCAGGCCCTGGGGAACCCCATCCGGTGGCTTTCTTCGGGAGGAGGCTGTGAGCAAAGGTCAGAACCCCCTTCATGGCACACGATGCACAGAGCTGAGGCTGCGGCAGGGGCGCCGTCGGTCACCCAGCACACCCATCACTTAGGCCCCCAAGACTCAGTGACCCATGACCACCTGCTGCGGAAGAGACGGGGGTGGCCGTGTGTGTTTTGTAAATGGCACCTTCTGCAGGAGGCAGGACCGCCACCGCTGGAGAGCACCGTCGGGAAAACAGGATCAACGCTGGGTACCCGAGGAGCGCGCCCGTGGGGTGCGCCCACCAGGACCCTGGCCTCGGCCTAACGAGACCAAGGGAAGGGATGTCCTGGGCTCAAGACCACCGACCCGTTTCGCTTGCGTCCTTCCTGCAGCTCTCGTCGACGACCGCTGACATTCGTCGACACCACCGGCTCTCAGGGGACGGCGCCTGTCGAGTGTCAGGAACTTGGGGACAGAGGGCGCCCCCTGGTGGTTTAAAAAGTCGGATCCAGAAGAGAAGCCGAGGGAGAAACCGCCTGGTTTTCCTCTGGGTGAGCAGCCCGGGCTGATCGTGCCTTGGGGATGCTCGGAACCCTGTTCTAACATTGGGGTTCCATTATCTGACTTGGTCTTTGAAGCATCCTTTTGAAGATCCTACAGTTCAGGAAGCAGAGAACTCTCTAAGAATTGCTGGGAAGGCCTTCTGGAGGGCGGGGCAGTCTCTGAGTTGGGTGGTGAGGGACTCAAAGGATTTGGGGTATTTATTTTGCTTTAGTGGCGATTGAACCCGGGGGCTCCCTACCACTCAGCAACATTCCCAGCCCTTTTTGGTTTTTGAGACAGGATCTTGCTAAGTTACCCAAGCTGACCTCAAACTTGTGATTCTCCTGCCTCAGCCTCCCGCTGTGCTGGGATTACAGGCTGTGCGGCTGCTCCAAGCCTGGGGTATGAAGAGCGCTGGAGGAGGAAGCTCAGGGATCATCGGACACAGGCGGATCTTTGGAGGAGGAATTTCTACTCGTGTTGATGCTGTTTAGTTCTACCAGTTTTCATTGAGCATCTACTATGTGTCAGCACCAAAGAGATTGCTGAATTCTGCAGCAGCCCTGGAAACACACAGCCGGACACGATGTGAGGAGGGGAGTTTGGTTCTGTGTCACATGCAAAGAGCAGTGGCTGTGACTTTTGCACTTTCTAGCTGAATAGCTCTGGACAGGTCATACAACTTCTCTAAGTGAGCCTAGTTACCTCTTTGTAAAAGAGATTAGAACCGCTTCACCCCCACAAGTTTGTTCTGGGAATCAAATGAGACCAGATCTGGGGAGCTCTTTGTACCTACCCAAAGGGGACGGTTCTGCTTTGATGAAGATGAAAGCAGTTCACAGCAACCTAGGAGTCTGGGGCAGGAGGATTGTAAGTTGGAGCCCAGTGAGACCCTGACTCAAAATAAAAATTAAAAAGGGCTGGGGATGTAGAGATAGGACACTCCTGGGTTCCACTCCAGTACCGCAAAGCAAAGTTCCTTTCTTTTTTGTTTCTCTCTCTGTACCCACCTTTTGCCTCCTAATGCAGAGCCAGGGCCGGGGCCAGGAAATCACTGGGTTCTCGTCCCTGACTTTGCCCTCCCTTATCTCTTCTCCCTTCCTCTCCACTCCCCAGCTGGATGGACGGAGCTGGACATGTGTGGCAAAGGAATAAGGTCAGCTTAAGTCTTTTTTTTTTTTTTTTGATACCAGGGATTGAACCCAGGGGTGCTCAACCACTGAGCCACATCCCCAGCCTTTTTTTAATATTTATTTTTTAGTTTTAGGTGGTCACAATATCTTTATTTTTCACTTTTTATTTTTACGTGGTGCTGAGGATCAAACCCAGTGCCTTATGCATGCTAGGTGAGCGCTCTACCACTGAGCCACAACCCAGCTCCACCCCATTTTTAATATTATTTAGAGACATGGTCTCACTAAATTGCTCAGGGCCTCACCCAGTTGCTGAGGCTGGCTTTGTACTCGAGATCCTCCTGCCTCAGCCTTTGGAGCTGCTGTGATTACAGGTGTGCGCCCCCTCACCCAGCTAGTCACTCTCTTTTCACAAGACATGGGTAGAAGTGAGGGAACAGGGTGGAGATCAGGGGCTAGAGGCAGCCCCAGCTTCCAGAGGCCCTGTACCTGTAATCCTAGGGAGTGGGAGAGGCTGAGCCCTCCCACCCTTCCTTCCTCCAGGTGCCCAGGTGGGCTTGGAGAGGGTGCCAAGACACAGAAATGTCCTTCTCCATTTTCCCCTTTCCCAACTGGAGGGATGAGGGGACTGGTTTTCCTGTCCTCCCCTTCTCCCTCCTGGGGGTAGAGGTGGAGGGACACCATATTGGGTGGGAGAAGCATTGAACAAAGAGACCTGTCTCGCCGTGGGATCTTGGACTAATCAATTCATACCTCTGAGTCCTATTCCTTCAAATAATATTTATGGGGCACCTATTGGCTTCCAGGTACACTGTAAGCACCCAATAAAAACGTTGGAAAGTAATTAAAGGTGACTAATGTGGCGCCCCATCCCTAAGGAGCCGTAAAGTATTGTCCAAGCAGAGAGGCAACCAAGGAGGCTCAGCCAGGGTTAAGGGAGGATCGTGGCCTTTGTCCTTGAGGAAGGAGACGGGGAAGGGTTTGAACCTGAATCGCAGGGTAACCTGTCAGAATGGCATCATAGAAAGATCTCTGTGGGAGACAGTGGTGGCGCATGTCTGCAATTCCAGCAGCTCAGGAGGCTGAGGCAGGAGGATTGAAAGTTTGAGGCCAGCCTCAGCAACTTAGCGAGGCTGTAAGGAACCTAGTGAAACCCTGTCTCAAAATCAAAATTAAAAGGGCTAGGGGTGTGGCTCAGTGTGGAGCCGGTTGCTGAGAGGCTAAAGAAAGTGCCCAGAGACAGCATGGGACACACATGATATACTGGGGAAAGATTCCTAGAGATCAGTGACTGCCCAAGTGGAGTTCAGTGGTGACAGGCTGACGGCATCTCCGTCCCTCAGGGTGCTTCACCAAGCAGCGCCTCTGACCTGCGCAGCGTCTTGTTGAGCTGGACTAGTGACATGAATCCTTTCCCCGTGGGGTTTCCTGTGTCGGGCTGCAAGGACATCATCAGCATTAGCTTGCTTAGTTTTTCATGTGACAGCATTCTCAGGCGGAGCTGTCCCGGGGTTCAAGCAGGAAAGTATTTTTGCAGACAACATTAACTGGCTTAAGAGAAGCACAGAGCTTCAGGATAAGATGAATCTGAACTTCACAGATCTTTATTTTATTTATTTTTATGTGGTGCTGAGGCTCGAACCCAGTGCCTCATGCATGCGCGAGGCTAGCGCTCTGCCACTGAGCCACAACCCCAGCCCCTGTGTCTGGACTTTTGCTGAGCGTGGTGGTGACACACGCCTGTAATCCCAATGACCTGGGAGGCTAGGGCAGGAGGATCTTAAGTTCAAAGCCAGCCTCAGAAATTTAGTGAAACCCTAAGCAAGACTCTGAGACCCCGTCTCAAAACATCAAAATGGTTGGGGATGAGGCTCGGTGGTAAAGCCCGTGCCTGGCCTGCATGAGTCCTTGGGCTCAATTCCCAGCACCTAAGTAAATAAATAAATAAATTTCATTAATCAGGGAGTTTTTTAAAAGGGATGAGGGCTGGGGATGTGGCTTGGAGGTTAAGTACCCTTGGGTTCCATCCCTGGTATCAAAAGAAAAAAAAGAGAGAGAGAGAGAGAGAGAGAGAGAGAGTACATATTGGACTTTCCAGCCCGAGGTTCGGGTCATTGATCCCTTAACTTGGTGGGTTTTGGGTACCAGAAAAGGGGCTTTTAGGAGTATGGCCTTTTCCTGTTCCCCTCTTCTTTAGGGACAGTACACTGGGAAAAGAGGGTAGGAACGTGAGAATGGTTCCGGATGCAGGAGGGGACAGTGGCTGAGGAAGACGTGCAGCCCTACCAGATGTGCGGGGCTGGGGCTCAGGCTGGGTTTGGAGTCCCAAGGATGAAGCACAGTTAGAGTGGATGAAATTAGAGGAGTCTGGCGCATTGGTGCTCGCCTGTAATCCCTGCGGCTCTGGAGGCTGAGGCAGGAGGATCTCAGGTTCAAAGCCAGCCTCACCTATTAATGAAGCACTGAGCAACTCATGGAGAACCTCTCTTTAAGTAAAATATTTAAAAGGGGCTGGGGAGGTGGCTCTGCGGATAAGCACCCCTGGGGGTTTCAATCCTCAGTACCAAAAAAAAAAAGATTCGAGTGGATAAGGGCGACCTTGGAGATGCACAAGGTGACACAGAAAGAAGGGGTGAGAACACAGCACTGGAGGTGCTCCCTTCTAACCCTGAGCTTCTGGGCCTGTGGTTTTGATAGGCAACTTGGAGAGAAGCAATCTGCCCCCAATTCCTTACCCAGCTCCGTTCCATCCTGCAGAGGTTGGCCTTAGGGCATGGCCACCAGAGGGCGCAATTACCTCAAAAAAGTTAACAGCTGGGCGTGGTGTCACCTCTGTAACCCAAAGGCTGAGACAAGAGAGTTTGTGATTTAGGTAGACCCTGTCTCAAAATAAAAAATAAAGCTGAGCATGGTGGTGCCCGCCTGGAATCCCAGTGACTTGGGAGGCCGAGGCAAGAGATCACAAGTTCAAGGCCAGCCTCAGCAACTAAGGGAGGCTCTAAGCAATTTAGTGAGGCTCTGTCTCAATCAGTCAATCAATCAATCAACCAATAGGGTTGGGGATGTGGCTTGGTGGTTAAGTGCTCTTGGGTTCAATCCTGGTACACAAAAAAAGAAAGGTTACAAAATAAAAAGGCTGGGGACGTGACTCAGAGGCAGAGCATCCCTGGGTTTGACCCACAGTACAAAAACAAAAGGCTCAGACTTTTTTCAGGTATCCAGGAGGCTGAAGCAGCCCTGAGAGGTCAGGGCCACAGGGACAGGTTTCTGCCCAGACGAGGAGCCCGCACAATACTTGTTTCTGGGGCTGGCTGAGCTGCCGCCAGAGGGAGTGAGGACCCGTTCCTGGAGAGCTCAGGTCCAGACAGGATCTGTCTTGGGAGGTTCCTTTTAGAATCCAGAAAAAACTAGAAAGGAGCAGTGACCCCAGGGTCCTCCCCTCACTCCCTCCCTCCCGCCCCCCTTCTCTTGGAGGTACTGGAGATTGAACCTGGGGCGCTCTGCCGTGAGCTGCATTTCCAGCCCTTCTTATTATGTTATTCTGAGACAGAGTTTTGCTAAATCACCCAGGCTGGCCTCGAACTTGTGATCCTCCTGCCTCAGCCCCCCCAAGAGCTGGGAGCCCACAGTCGTCCTTTTGTCTTTCCTGGCCTGAGGGTTCTGTAAGCCAAAGCAAAGGCCCGG